ATGTGTACTCTCTCATGCCAAGTTGCCCAAATCATTCTGGGGAGAAGCTGTGATGACCATTGTTAACATAGTCAACCTCACACCATCAGTTCCTTTGGACGGAGACATCCCATAGGAGGTTTGGTCAAGCAAAAATGCTTCTTACAACCATCTCAAGGTGTTCGGATGCAGGGTATTTGTTCACATCCCCAAAGACGAGCGAGCCAAGCTTGATGCAAAAAACTAAGGAATGCATCTATCTTCGTTCTCTAAGGATGAGTTCGGGTACCGACTTTGGGATCCAATCAACAAGAAGGTCGTCTGAAGCCGAGACGTTGTATTCTTCGAATACTAAACAATTAAAGACATCCAAAAATCGGAGAGGCCAAGATTGAGAAGCAGCAAGAGCACAAACCTTACACCGGTCTGACGTGAGGATAATGCCACACCTGAAAACAATGATGCTGAAGATCATGAGCCTATCCTAGAGCAAAACAACCAGGAGACTCATGATGAGCCAGTTCAGGAAGAACCTCAGTCTAGCTCTTCACTAGCGCCCTAGTTGAGACGATCTTCAAGGGACTGAAGGTCATCTTCCCGATATAGCACAGAGGAGTTTGCGATGCTCACCGATGAGGGGGAGTCTCAAAGTTATAAGGAGGTCATTGTAATACCCCAACCCTTGAGAGGGTGATGTGATTAGTATTGATAGATTTGATTGGAATACTCATACCACCAAGATGCATCTTCTTTTCGGGAACCCAACTCTTAGAAACTCCAAAGTTAAGCGTGCTTGGCCTGGAGAAATTCTAGGATGGGTGACCCCCTGGGAAGTTTTCCAGGGAGCGCGTGAGTGAGGATAAAACGTGCTGAAAAGACATGTGGTGGTTTGTGAGGCCAGTCCATCAGATCTAATAGCGTACCGATTCCGGGATTCCGGGACGGGGCGTTACAAATGGTATCAGAGCCAAACCAACCGGAATTGTGAGAGCTAAGTGCTATGCGGCGCAAAGTGCTACGTCGAGAGGACGGGAGCCACCTCTTGAGGCCGTAGGAGCCACCTCTAGGGAGCCACTTCTTGAGGCCGTAGGAGCCACCTCTAGAATCTCACACGGATGGTATGGTCTTGGATGATATGGTTTAGCACAACGAGGACGTTGTGAGTTTAAGTGGGGGAGTATGTAATACCCCAACCCTTGAGAGGGTGATGTGATTAGTATTGATAGATTTGATTGGAATACTCATACCACCAAGATGCATCTTCTTTTCGGGAACCCAACTCTTAGAAACTCCAAAGTTAAGCGTGCTTGGCCTGGAGAAATTCTAGGATGGGTGACCCCCTGGGAAGTTTTCCAGGGAGCGCGTGAGTGAGGACAAAACGTGCTGAAAAGATATGTGATGGTTTGTGAGGCCAGTCCATCAGATCTAATAGCGTACCGACTCCGGGATTCCGGGACGGGGCGTTACAGTCATAACTGACAGTCATAAAGGGGAGTGGATAAGAGCCATGTAAGAGCAGATGCAATCCTTGCACGAGAATAACACTTATGAACTCGTGTAGCTACCAAAAGAGAGACGAGCCTTGAGGAATAAGTGGGTGTATCGAACCAAGACCGAAGACAGTAGCTCAAAGCCCCGCTACAAAGCTTGGTTGGTCGTAAAAGGATTCGGTCAAGAGAAATGTATTAACTTTGAAGAAATATTCTCTCCAGTGGTAAAGATGTCATCCATCTGAGTTGTTTTTGGCCTAGCAGCAGTGCAAGACTTAAAGATCGAGCAGATCGAATACAACATTCCTTCATGGTGATCTAGAGGAAGAGATCTATATGGAACAGCCTGAGGGGTTCAAAGTTCTAGGCAAAGAAAATTTGATGTGCCGCCTAACGAAGAGTCTATATGGTCTTAAGCAAGCACCTAGGCAATGGTACAAGAAGTTCGACTCTTTCATGGCAGTACATAATTTCAAAAGGATAGAGAGCGATCATTGTATCTTCATAAAGAGGTATGCAGGTGGCGACTTTCTCATACTTCTACTCTATGTTGATATGTTGATTGTTGGACAAGATCGCATAAATATAGCTGCTTTGAAGAAAGATTCAAGCAAGAGCTTTGCCATGAAAGATTTGGGACCAGCTAGACAAATTCTTGGGATGAGGATCACTCATGATAGATCAAAGAAGTTGCTATGGCTATCCCAAGAGAGGTACATTGAGAAGGTGCTAGAAAGATTTAGCATGCACAAAGCAAAGCCGATCAACACACCACTTGCTGGACACTTCAAGATGAGCTCGAAGCAAAGTCTCACAAGTGAGAAAGAAATGGAGGAAATGAAGATGATTCCATATTCATTTGCAGTAGGCAGTCTCATGTATGCAATGATATGCACAAGACCCGATATCACCTATGCAGTTGGTGTTGTTAGTTGCTTCTTGGCTAATCCGGGGAAGGAACACTGGGCTGCAGTCAAATGGATCCTTTGGTATCTACACGGTACTTCCAAAAAATGTTTATACTTTGGAATTGGAAAACATGTGCTAGAGGGATACACAGATGCAGACTTGGCCGGTGACATTGATTTTAGGAAATCAATGTTAGGATACCTAACTACTTTTGCAGGAGGAGCTGTTTCCTGGCAATCAAAGTTACAAAAGTGCGTTGCATTGTCCACTACTGAGGCAGAGTATATCGCAGCTACTGAAGCTTGCAAGGAGATGTTGTGGATGAAGAATTTGTTGCTTGAGCTGGGAGTAGATCAAGACAGGTATGTCTTGAAGTGTGACAACCAAAGTACAATTTACTTAACAAAGAATTCAACTTTTCATTCCCGCACAAAGCACATTGATACACAATATCACTAGATCCAAGGAGCTCTCAAAGAAAAGCGCATACATCTTGACAAGGTTAACACAGATAAAAACTGGTCAGATATGATGACCAAGGTAATACCATCCAAGAAGTTTGAAGATTGCTGTCAAGGTGCTGGTTTGCTACTACCTCCCAATTAAGTCGGGAGGGGGATATTTGTTGGGATCCCTCCTTAATTAGGAAGATTTTAGAAAATTTTAGAACTTTCTGGAGAACTCTAGAGAAGTGTAGAATTCTCTAGAAGCGTGTGGAGTCCTCTAGAATATTCTAGAGATGTGTGGAGCCTTTTGGAACATTCTGGAATAGTATGAAATAGAATGGAGGAGTGTAGAGATTCCTTAGAAATCTCTAGAAAGTAAAGATATGTATAGAGAATTTTATAGAGCTAATCTCCACCCTTGGATCAAATTAATCCCCACCACTCATTATGAAGGTGGAGTAGTATAAATAAAGGTGAAAGCCTTCATTTCTATCCATCAAAGACAAGAAAACAATCCACTTCCTAGAGTAGAGAATACCTCTAATATAGAGAGTTAGAGAGCCTCTTTGAGAGAGAAGTGAGATAGCTTGAGTGTCCTAATCCTCAAACTCGAGCGAGCCACCAAAGTGAGTCAGTTTTGTAAAATATAAATTTTTGTAATCTTACTATTCTTTTGTGTAGTGGCATATTGGAGGACCATAAACTCTTGTGCTCCCATTACTATCTTAATTTATAAGTGCCTATCTTAACTTCACGAGGGGGGAAAACCGAGTTTTCCCAGCACAACATGAGTGTTGTAGAGATGAGATTGTTATGATTGGCACTTGAATTTCCACATGATATAACGAGAGATAACCAATTAAGATGGTTTGTTCATGTGTGATGGAGGCTGCGCTTCTGTTAGGAGAAGTGATAGGATTATAATAAACGAGTAAGAATGACTAGAGGAGGCTAAGAGAACGTGGTTAGAAGCAATTAAAAGGACATGATAATGTTTAATCTAACAAGGAGATAGATCATATAGACCTGGATGGAAAAATAGGATTCATATAGTCAACCCCTATAAGTTTGGGATAACTGTTCTTGTTGCTACTGGTGATGGTGGTTTGTGAGCACCATAGAGTTTTGGATTTGGCTTCTTAACTTTTTTATGTTCTGTTACATTTGTAATTCCAAACTTAACCCTTGAATGCGTTTCCTTGGAACGCCAAGAGCTGGTCATGCTTGGTTGTTAAGATATGTAGTATGTTTCTCATGGTTTTGTTAGGAACCAATTGGTTGCACAATGCATATAGGGATTTGATGTGAGTATATATAGGTCTAGGTTTCCCCTCCCTATAGTAGCTAGCTTGTAGAGTTGACTTGTCCTAACTATGGTACTAATCACAAGTGAGCAATGCAGTTGGTGATGCTAAATTGTAGTGTTCATTCAAGAATAATTCTAGTACAAATCCAAAGTGGTGATGCCAATGTTGCACCATTTGGACAAAATTAAGTGTGTATAGCTTACATTGTGGCATCAAAATTGTTGTAGATATGTAGAGATCCTATGTTGGGGCACATTAAATTTGACGTTTATTACATTAGTGGTTAAATGTAGGTATAGGTTTGGCTTCTCTCCCTCTAACAGCTAGCCATGTTGCAGTGAATTATTTAGTCCAATGACTCTGGTTTAAACAATATATGATTGCATAGGGAATCATCTATGAGATTTTGGTCATCTTTTTGAGTACAGAAGCTACGGGTTTAATTTGGGGTTCTGGTCTTGTGGCAGATGTCTGATTATAGACCTGAGAATAAATAACAAGTGATTCTTTATTAAGATCATGGTTTCGGAATTGTACCCTGATGTAATTTGCATTTTTGTTTGCGTGGTTGCTAGGTTGAATGTGTTGATAAAATACATGAACGAATTGGAATTTTGAGTTCCTGGCTTGAATGTGTTGGTACAAGAATTCAAGTTAGACTTAGAGCTTTGGTTTGTTATTTAGACTTAGAGCTTTGGTTTGTTATTTGGTGGGTGGTACGAGCATTCTTTCTTTAATATTTTGTTTTAATATCTTTAACCAGGGTTCGTCATCTCAAGCACAATTTAAAATAATTTCCATTCTACTGACCTACTATTACTATCTGGTTTCTAAAATTGATTAGAAATGCCCTCTTATTTTTCCTGCAGGGAAATTTGTGGGGATTAGGTTCTGGTTTTACTTATCCAGCAGTTTCTTCAAGTACATATGAAGGTAATCATGGTGCTGTAGTTAGTAAAGGGAGACAATAAACTGTATTACTGTATGTTTGTGTTAAATAAGGTGTGAATTACAGATCATCGAGCATCCTTCTCCTTGAACTTATTTCCTAATGGATTTTCTGTTGGAAAGCCCACTGAGGTTTGTTTCTGCCACAATCATCTCGATTGTTATCTATCGCATTAGATGTAACAAATATGTTGTTTGACAGTATCATGATGTTTTTTTTAATATATGTGATTTTCCTTGTACATTTCAGGGTATGATTTTGCCTTTACTTGAAGAGACACCAGAATCATGGCATCCTTATGACCGGGCATCTATGAGCTTGTTTTCTGTGAGTATATGTTGTTTACAGTAAATCCGTATAAATCGAAATCTGTTATGTTTATCATAAATACTAATAGCGTAATATGTTTGAACTTATGAACAATCATCTGAATGTATTAGCTTATGTTCTTGAAAATTTACAGCGAGAGACAAAAGACTGAACTGTAATACCATCTAATTTTTCTTTTTATTTTCCCTTCCATAGAAAACAGGCCTATGTTCAGTGCTACTTTACAAGTTCGGTCCATTAATAATAGCATTATCTAACAACAGAAAACCATTCTGTACTGGAGCTCCTTTAATAAGTTACTTTTCACTGCATGCTTATGGACATTGTTGTTTGTTAGTGCTTTGTTCTGAAGTGGTTTTCTTCTTTTCCGTAGTCAATTGAATATGGCTGGCTTCCTGGAGACAGTTTTGATGATATACCCTGCAAATACTTCAATGGAACTGTTCTTTGTGAGGTAATTTAAAAGCTTAAGTTGGTTAATGCTATACTTCATGTGAAACCGTATTTGTTCATGTACTTTGGTATCCTGCGTCTTTGTTAAATTTGAACTGATAATTCAAATGAATACTAATGGTCAACTTGTGATGGAGTTATATATTTAATATTAGTTGCTGATAAGCCATTTTGATTTCTGGTTCAATGGACCTCTATTTTTGGTTGAAACTTCCATCAAAACAGTCTGCTGTTACTTGAGACATTGCAAGTTGCAACCATACACCACAACACCATGTTCATCATCACCATCTTCATTTGAGTATCCATCAATTGTGATTGCTAATGAAGAATGACTCAAAATCGAGAAAGCTCCACAAAAGATTTATCTAGTTTCTACCACCGGTTTTTAACATGCACTGATTCCCTAGTCGGTTTCAAATTCTTGGCAAAAGCAAATACATGCGAGGTTTTGTAGTAAAACCTTCACAGTCAGTTGATAGATTGGACAAACTACCTCTTGCAATGTACACATACACACATATACTTATGCCCATGCATATTAATGAGAAAAATTGCAAGCACGCACCCAAAAAAAAAAAAAAAACACACGCACAAACACAAACACACACACACACACACACACACACTCATGCGTATATGTCTATGTTACCTAAATAGCCAATGATCATGGGGTTGTACCCATTCTCAACCACATTCATACAAGTATGAATCCACATAAGTATGTTACAAAGGGCGAAGAGGGACATTATCAAAGTGCTGCTCCTTTCGGTTTTAAGCACTTCCAATAAAATGCTTTTCTTCCTGAACTAACACGTTATTGATACACATGTGCATGCTGGAAATTTTCAGTGAGTTAGGGCTGAGATCTAGGCCAAACTGTTGATTAGATGTACACCTGTTCGCTGATTGCAATATATTGATATTGACATCATTTCATCTGTTTAGGTTCTAGTTTTCTAGATTTTAGTGGCTTCTAGTGGCCGTAGAGTCCTGACACATTCAATATTATACATACTTTTTCAGCTAAAATTTTCTTGCGACCAAGTGAACTTATCTGTGCAGGTGTGGGATTTTCGGGCCTGTATGTCTAAACTTGGAAATAATGACTATTTAGAAGACGAGTTTCCAAAAGTTCAGAAAGTTTACCTAAAGATGGGCATGGAAAATGTTGTGAAGGACTTGCCATCAATCTTGGATGATTCCTGGAGTTATAATGATCTATTGGTTAGTTTAGCTGGCTACAATTGCACTCTCAAAAAATTTTCCTTTCTATTAGTTGCATTTGACTCCCTGTTTCCTGTTGGTGTTTCAGGAAGTCGAGTCTCGGATAACCAGAGCCCTCCAACCTGTATTATTTTTGAATCCAGATCCATCCCTTGACAGATCCTGCAAAACATCATTCAGAAAGCAGGTATTATTGATTCAAGTGTTCAGGTCAGCTTCTTTTCCTGCATATGATTTGAAAAGGTATTTACTGTTGTGTCAGCATTCTCTATGCGCGCAGGTTGATTTAGGTCTATGTAACGGCAGATTAACAACAAAACAGAATGATGTATCAGAAATCAACCTCTGGCCAACTGGTATATCCCATGTAAGGGACTTCTCAATGAATAGTTGTTTTGAAAGTTTACCGAGGCTTGCTGTCAATAGGTCATTCAGTTCTGATCAATCTGCAATCTCAATAAGCATGCCAAATTTGGAGCGGAATGATGTTATGGCACAAGTCTCTGGACATGCTTTACCAGTAACATCCAGAATGAACTGTAATTCAGTACTCCATTTCTCTTCTGATGCTCCCAAGAAGGATTCTCTCCATTCGGTGTTAGCACCTGATAAAACTATCAGAGATTCGGGAAATGGACTGAAAGATTTTGCTTCTCTTCCTGAAAAGAGGGATAGGTGCCAGTTGCAGTTCATGCAAGAACCGTATTCCAAAAGGCCCAAGCAAGATTCATCAGTTCCATATTTTTTTCGGAACCCTTTGGATCAAAGGATCTGCTTGTTAAAGAGAGAATTGCATGTGAATATTACTTCATCAGTAAAGCAGACAGGGACTAGAATCATGTTGCAGTCTGGAGTTGGTGATGTTATTGGCTATTCTCAATCTGAAATGGATGGCAAAACAGCAGACGGAGTTACTAAGCTAGAATCACAAAGGACTTTAGCGTACCAAGGAGGAAGAAAATGTATTGTTAAAGAGACGGTAAAAATCTTACCCAAAGCAGAAGCAGAGATTGATAAGGAAAACCATGATCTGGATTTTGGAACTGATAAATCAAAACAAGAACAACAAGTCTCGTTTATAAGTTCCCTACTTCCGCAGATGCATAGGAGTAGTGGCCCTTCAATTGAGAAGTGCACTGAGAAGGAAACTAACAAGGGCTGTGCTTCACGGAAAAGGAAGTCAAGTCATACATCCCTTGTTTCATCTGCGGGTAGAGTTCATTCTTCTATGTCAAAGGCAGCTAAAAACTGTAGGATGCCTACTCGAGCTTTGTATAGCACAAGTACAGATGTTATGAATCTTGGATGCTCCATAGATAAAGCTGCATCTGTACCTTCTGTCGCTGTTTTTTCAGGTGTGATCCATGCTGTAACGAGGGAGAACCAGATGTCACGGAACACAAAGAAGGCACCAAAAACTCGTGGTAAAGTTGCATCTATGAGCAAGGACGACACTGGATCCCCAGTAACTGTTAGTAGCTGCGGCACTCAGTTACGTCCAAACAACTTCTCACTATCAGGATGTAGCGATCCTTTCATTCTTGAAAGGTTCTCAAAAATTATTAGGGCAGCTACAAGGTATGTTCATTCCTTTTATTATTATTATTCTTCATTTTCCTACGATATTAACCATGAAATGTTGCAAGACGTGCTTATATAATCCATTATCCATATATCTGTTTGGTTATGTCATGTCATATTTTGCCATCCTCATGCTTTATTACTGATCTTTTTAGGCATGGGCTGCGCAACAGAAAGAATACAATCAACGAGCATATAAAAAGTAAATCAACATTCCATCTCGCTCAGGCAGCATTGCTTTTACTCCCTGAAGATTCTGAAGAATGTAAACCGCTGATGGATAAAATGTGTATATCAAAATTTCTGATTGGTGGAAACAGGAATATCTGCAAGATTCGTACCATTACATTTGTGCGTTTCCTTGAGGGTAAGTTGTTCCTTCTTTTAAGAACCCATATGTGCTCACTTTTTGAATTTACTCATCAATTTGTTCATCCCAGGAAATAGTCATCGGCTTGCTGTTTCTGATTGTTGGAAACTATTCTTGTTTGAATCTGAGAAGCCTGAAGAACATTGGGTTGGTGCAGAAGTGGTCTTTGGAGAAGAAGACAACATCCCTATCGCATTACTGCCTTCTCCTGTAAGTTCTCTTTCATTAATGTTATTTACTATAAGCATTGCCACTTGTAAACAACTGTTTTTCTCTTCATTAGAGTCTCTTCTTACCCACGAAACTATGTTTTTGCAGAACCATGCAGATCTATTTGCTTCTCAGTTCATTTCGTTGGTATGTTTCGTATTCTTATCTTCAATTGCATGTAAAGGTCTTGTATGGTTTACCTATTCTGAAGTTATTTCGTGAAGTTACGCAGCTTAATTCAATGGCTCCCGTGAAGTTCCGGAGTTTTTTTTGACAAAACCGACCCAGTTTCAGCCATCTGGCTGAAACTGGGTCGGTTTTGACAAATAAGTTTCAAATAGGTCGAAATTTGCAATTATTTATCAAAATGGGTCTATTTTCAAAATTTGTCCTACCTAGAACTTTCTAACATCATATAGTATTTACTGTTTACAAGTATATGTCCATGGTTAAAAAAAGGCGAGGTTTGATCCATATGAAGTTCTTGAAGAAGGATCTTAGCATGAAAACTTTTGGTTTTTGCTTCATGGTGCATTCACCTGAAGTTGAGAAGGTTTGAAATTTTTCCAATGTGCAAGTTATTAGGATGAGTGGATCTATATTCTATAAAGAGGTGAAAAAGTCAGCTTTTACACTATTAGAATGCATTTTTCTTCCTTACACTGTAAATAGTTTTTAATTTGTGTAGATGGAACGTGAAGGATATAAATTAAAGAATGATCAAATTCAACCCACTTGCACCAGCTGTACGGATGCCTCTAGCAGTAATTCAGTGCATATCGATTCTCCTGATGATGCGAATGTTTCTTGCACTGCATTTAACCCTGTCCAGCCGCCCCTGAAACAAGTCTCTTATGGTACCAAAATCTCCATACCAAATCCTCCTCATCTATTGCCGCCTTCAAATGTACCCATCCAAAGAAGAGAGCCTTCTGCTTGTTCTAATTTGACCAGCTCAAAAGAGTTGAACATTGTTTCCCATCTAAGTTCTATGAACGAACATTACTCACATAATCAGAGTTCCATGGTGGCTGTCCAAGACAACTTGTCCTGTAATTCCCTCATGCAGCTAGGTGGTCAAATAACAAGCACTTCTAGAATTGTGCACCCCTTTCAGTTTCAGGAATATCAGCAGCAACAGAGTATTTTGCTGAATAAGATATGTAGTCTTGGAGCCTCTGGTAATGGCATTGGAATAGGAGAACATATCTCTGGTATAACTGCGCCTCAGATAGGTGATAATCTTCCGCAAACAACTGCATTTGGTCACTCTGGTGTGAGAAATATCTATGGAGAAAATTCCCAGGTTCAAGCAACCTTAAGGGCAAAGCCAATACAGACAGACATGGGATTAATGGAGGGTATACCTGTTAGTACCTTAGCTGATGGTACTGTTAAGACAAAAAGAACTGGGTCTTTGCTGGACCAGCTTCAAGAGAACAGCTTTTTTTATCAGTGCCTTGGCGCAAACAACTTTTGGACAGGTCCTTCTAATGTACCATTCAAGCACATGAACTACGTGAGCCCAAAGCAGATGCTTACAAAAGAAGAGAAAAATACGTGACACCCTTTACGTTGGAAGCAATCGGACCAATTCAGCTCGCCTCTGCAATATGGTTCTCCTCAAATGACTCAGTTGAGACCAGAGAGTCCAAGAGAACCGAGTTCAGGATCAGCTCCACATCAGGAGATTACTGGTATTGTTAGCAAATCTAGCCCGCAACTTAGCTCTTGAACTGGATCCCTATGGTGAGAGCATCACTAGTGCATCCAAGTAGTTACCTTGATATTGGTAATGGAGGCGATACTCTTTCAGGGGACAAGAGATGGGAATCTTTTTGATGCTTGTGCTGTCGATAGTTGAAGCTACGACTATTTTGTGAAGGAATTTTGGTGATCATAGCTTGTTATGAGAGTGGAACGAGAGGAGAGTTATTTTTGTACTGTTGCTCCGTTATCTAGATGTAGATTTTATGATGAAAGCATAAAGTGAGATGCATAGGCAATATTGAGATTCCTTTTTCTGCATAGTTAAATGACTTCTTTTCTAAGCTGTTATCTTAATGTCCTTGTTTACTGCAAGAGACATCATTTATTACCAGATCCATAAATTGTGATCTTCCATCTTAGTATATCGATGCAGTATGCAATTAGGGGTAATATTAGGTACCTTACATATTATCTGCTTCCACCATTCTAGTTGTATCTTATATCATGAGCAGGTAATGAAATTTATAGGTGCAGTATGCAATTAGGGTAACATCTGGCATCTTTCCAGTAATAGGTGCACCTGGTTTATTTCGTTATTAATTATTGAAGCCCTTGAATTTTTTATTTATTTATTTTTTTTTTTTGCATCATCTCTTTGGTTTAGAATTCATAGGTTTCACGTATCATGCTTTCTTATCTATTCACATCATATTTAATATTTTGTTAAAAGAGTTCCAGGCAAGTTAAAAGCAGAAGGTTTTATCTACCTTGGAGCTCAAGATGGCATGTGTTGCTCGCTTCTTAATAGAGAAAATCCCAAAATCAGGCTCTTGTTAGCCACGATTAGTCTCTTCCCCTCCTGATCCTCAATATGTAACATATATTGTTCCTAACACAGCTGAACTTAGGAAATTTATGATTATAATTTGTATAATAAAAAAGCGCATACCTGCTCATGTCCAGAACAGCTTCAGCTTAGTTTAGATGACGTTTGAATAATGTTGACTACTACAAATAGAGAGATTGGCTAATCAAAACCAGACCGGATGATAAAACCCTCTACCATGCGTGTCCTCATTAGGGGCAGCTACAGAAGTTCTCTCATGCCCAAACTCATTAGTCGCAGTAGAACAACTTTTTTGCTTAGATAATGTGGATGAGATATAGTTTTTTTTTGAAGCATCTGATTTATGTTTTGCACTGTGGGTAAGCGTTCTGAGCAACCAATCTACTGTTAGTGAGAGCGTTCCCCTTTCAAACTGATCTTGTGATGCCCAAAATCACATTGAAACATAATGTACCAGCAACGATACGTTAAGAGTAGAGGCGCAAATATACGATCATCAGCCAAATTGAACGCCATTAGCGCATACTCATTCTTTAATTCTCTTGTTTCCTCTTTCTTGATTCTCCTACTTCAAGACTCTATTCGTATGATGGATGTAAGCTGAGCCCTTAAGAAATAAGTTACATAAAATGATTTCATAATTCATAGAAGGGGGGGAAAAAGAAATTTTTTTCTCCAGATATTCTCGACTGAAATTGTTAATTTAACTTACCAAGCCATTAAGGACCCGAGTAGCATTTTATTATCTTATTTGGTATAGTTGAAGCCCTCTAACCTTTGTATTATTATCATATTCCATACTTCAAAAGATTGTGCAAAGTGTAACTTGAAGATCTCACTTCTATGATACTTTCTTTTTTTGCTTTTTAAGTAGGATGTAGTTGAAAGTTGTAGCTTTGTGATTAATGATCTGAACAGGGAAACTATTGGTTAAGAATTACAAATATTTATCTCACATTGACCAAGATGGTGCACAAGCGTGTGATATGAGTAATATGGCACGTGACTCAAGCTCTCAGTCCCCAAAAAATATGGAAAATGATGTGACTCAGGCTCTCGGTCCCCAAAAAATATATATTATGTATGAATAACTCGAAAAAGTCTTTAGGTCACTGCAGAGAATTCGTTGATACTCTCATCACATTCAAGTTCTTCACAAGTGAATATTAAAATTCAAGAGTTACAACGAGGAATGTGAGAAACATATATGAAGAGAAGTCAGACCGATAGTTGCAAGAAAACTAATTGAAGCATTTCATCCAAATCAAATTGCAAGAAGACATCTCCTCTATTTATTATATGGCATCCCTGGGATTGCTGGCATTCTGTACATCAACCTCAACACACCAATGTAGCACAAAATTTTGAATTAGACCTTTTCAAAAACAAAATTACCAATTTCGACCTATTTGCAAAATATTTATTAAAACCGATTTAACTTCAGTCACGTCAACCAAACTAGGTTGATTTTAATAAAAGAACATTTCCAAACTCCATGGGATTGGCAACCCCGTGAAGTTAAAATTGTGTGTTAAATTCCTCAAGATTCTCAACCTCGCAGAGTTTACGAATTTTTTTCCCAAAACCGATCTAGTTCCCAAAATATTTATTAAAATCGACCTAGTTTCAGCCAACGTGGCAGAAACTAGGTCTATTTTGATAAATATTTTGGGACTAGGTCTATTTTGATAATTTTTTTTGGGAATAGGTCTAATTCAAATATTTTTCCCACCCAATGTAGCATGAGTTCGTTTATCTATAGAACGTGGTTCATGCAGGGCCCTGGCTTTGGTTTTTGTCTTTGTGATTTGATCTCCTAAATAGTAAGAAAGGCAGAGAGGTCAGAAATATGGGAAAATTAAGGAAATCTTCATAATGCGGCAATGAGATTATTTTATAACTAATAGGTTATTTGGCAAGCATTTCTGTTCCAGCTGAAGAGGGACATGCAAGACCTCCGAAAACTTTTTTATATATAAAAACCTAATAGCTGAATGAGTTATTGAGTCATCCATGAATCACCCATTTAATAAATATGTCTACCTATTTATGACCCACCCAAAACTAGAGATGACTAAATTGACCTAAACTTCTTTGTCCACCCATACACACCCACTAAATGACCCGTCCAAACATACCCATTTATCTAAATGGGTCATAAATGCCACATAAAATCATGAAATTTCTAATTGGCCTCTATAAACTTAAAATTGGTAAATAACACTGTTAAAGTTTTAGAAAATGAGAAAAATACTCTCAAGGGTTTTAGAATTACAAAAGCAATCCTAAAATTTCAAAAACCTAAAAAAGAACGAACTTTGTTTGTTTTACTTAACCTCCTGAATTTTAGGGTGTCTCAAAAAAACTTCCTTGAACTTTGAACTTTCCTCATTGGACACCCTATGTATGGTAATTTATAAATATCTAAAATGTCTTAGAGAGTAAAAATATAAAATTATGTTTGTTGTCATTTACTGGCAACATACTTCCTCCTCCATTTTTTTTGAGAGAAAAACAAGGGGTATTCCCTGTTCATTAAAAACAAAAGTATGTTTATAAAAAAGGATACGAACTGTATCCATAGAAATTAGTAGATAGAAAGAATAATTTCTCTTGCTAGGGATGTAGGACCTTCTTCTTACAAACATCCATGAAGATGAAAAGAGGGCATTGCCGTCATTCATCGTTGACATGGATGTATGCAAGAACCAAAGCCAGCCATACATTTGGTCAAGAGAAATTAAGTTTTCTATAGACTAATTGAAACTAACAACATAACACCAAAAAAATGTTATGTACAGACGACATCGTAAACTACTGAAAATAAACCGATATTTATAAGCTAAACACTGTTGCTCCGCAAGATTGGTCTCTCTTCTAAAACCGCTGCTAGCTTAAGTGCCATCTTCCCTCTTCCAGAACCTGACCATTCATATAAAACAGAAATCGCTAAGTTAATGATAGTTTAAGCAGAGAACAAAGTATTTTCAAAGAGAAATTTATTTCTTGAAGTCCATAAGCTCCAGCATACTGCAGTGAAAACCGATCTCCATAAAACTCCATCAGTATTACAAAGAAATTCAACAGACATGAGAAGTTCATATAAAGACGTCGGCCACATGAAAGGGAGATAGAAGTCACTGAAATGTTTCCACACTGTTCTGGTGAGACTGCATTCAAAGAATAAGTGATCACACGATTAAAGATGTATACCACATAATATGCAAGTAGAGTCACCTTGCCATCCTTTCTTTGTAAGATTATTTTGTGTGTGTAGTCTGTTTTTAGATAAAAGCCATGTGAAGAACTGGAATTTACTCGGCATAACTGTGTTGGCCTTCTTGTTTTGATGATATTTAACAAACAATTTATTACTAATGTTGGTTGTCTAGTGTTTGTGCATTCCTATGTTTTGTAGACAAACAACGTTGTTGGAGGATGGATGAAATAGAACTTCAACGATCATATCCAAAGGAGGTTGGTGGAATATCGGTGAAGCCTTGCAATTCAAAGTTAAAGATCAAGTTTAAGCTTCATCCGCGAGATTATCAAGAAGAGCTTATTGAAGATCAAGATCTAGCTTGGGTAATTTATTTTAGGAATTTATATTATGTGTGTTAGTACTTTAAGCTCAATCATATACACACATACACGTTTTGGATTTTGTATATATATAGTTATATATATACATATATGTTTTGGTTTGATAGTTTTCAAGTTTTACTATGAAACAAATGAATAGAATTGGAAAATACTATTTTGTTTCATGTTTATATGCCTATATATGATTTCCCCTTTAACAAGCTTATATTTAATAAAATCATATTTAGTGTTTTGAATATATTTGCAAAGAATATGCAATTTCATGAAAATATTGCATTTCTAGGTTATAGACTTCATAACAACATATTATATCTTTTATCAAGTCTATACAATCATTTCATAAGGTTTCAAAATGTTGTTTAAGTCAAAATATCAAAATATCAATTTTCAGGTTTTCATGTTTTGGACTATTTTGTAAAATAATGATATTTTTCATTTGGGAAGTCCTTTTTCGAAACCAGTCGTTGTAGCATGTTTATTATCATGTCTACAATCATTCCCCAAAGTTTTACATTTTTTGGATTTTATTTGATATTTTTAAATAGTGTTTTAAAATCAGCTCTAAAACCGATTTTTTCTGGAATTTTCGGTCGACCGCACCGGTCGACCGAACCTGAGGTCAAAAGTTCTCTGGGCGACAGAATGTGTTTATAGAGAAGTTTCCTTAACTCTATTTCCTAGCATTTTTACTATTGAATTTCATATCAATTCTTATTGCTAGTTCTTATTGAGTTAAGTTTTATTGAATCTCATTGTTACTCACACTCACTTGAGCTTTTAGTATTTACATACATAGTATAGTTGGGTGGTGAGAGATTGTAACCTTGAGTTGTGCTTTCATTATGTTCTCATCTATTGTAGAG